TGTTAAAACCTTAGGAAGGATTGAGTTACAGCCAACAGAGAAGAGGATTGTGGATGGGAACTGGAGAAGGATGAACCTAGGGCTCAGCCTTCCTCAGCATCAAGCATAGTGGCCCTGTCTCAGCACAAGACTCTTCCACCTTCCACCTCCTTACCTCTTACATGTTACTTCAGTTTTGTTTTTCTGTAAAAGCTTTCCTTGGATTAAAAGTAGAAACAGAGAATAGGATCAGCTCCCTTCCCTTACCCCAAAATCAGTGTCCAAAGGAGATGATTATGTGAAATTTTAAAATGTTGGATAAAAATATAAGCTGTTTGTAGGAGTTCCCTGGTGGCCTAGTGGTTAGGATTCCAGGCTTTCACTGCTGTGGGCCAGGTCCAATCCCTTGTTGGGGAACTGAGATACTGCAAGCCGTGCAGCACAGCAAAGCAAAAAACAAAAAACATGTATATGTATACATATATGTATATGCTACTTGCTTTCCCCTCTGATGGGAGTGTTTTTTCCCCGATATTCAAATGCCATCCCCTTACCTATCAGCCTTCAGCACACTGACACCCCTTCATCAGATACTTCCCCAACCACCCTAATTAAAGAATTTCCCCCTCCTTATTGTTGATGCCCGTTAATCAAAGATCACCAGGAACACACTGCAGTCCAACAAAGTGGGGCTTGTTGATTGATGCTTCCAGCAGGAAGCAAGACTGCACACCTTGACGAAACATGGGACATCTCAGTAAGAAAGTCTTACCATGGGGCTTGTTAAGGGTTTGGGAAGGAAGTGGGGTTTTCTCTGGATTGGGGGCTGTCAGGAAATGGGAGTAATTGTATGACTGGGTATCTTAATGAACTTTATCTTGGAAGCAGGAGGAGCAGAGTGGGGCTAACGCTGCAGTTAATGAAGAAGCAGCATTCGCTCTTGTCAGCTGGGAGGGGGGCTGTTGGTGATTTTGGTGGTTGCACAGTGTTTTGGTTTTGTCCCTGCTCAGGCACGATTACAGAGTAGTAGTTTTTTTTTTTCTTTTGGCCTCCATCACAGTCACAGAGTGACTTTCTCTCATGTTGATGTGCCATAAAATTATGTTTGACCAGAGAACACCATGGTCTAGCTGTGAGTGCCAGGCCAGCTCCGAGCAAACAGGTGATTTTTTCTTTCCCACTTTGTCCTATTATCCTGATAGTGTAATTTCTTCAAATTATGAATCTATATCCAACCATGATATAACTTACGTATTTGTAATATATGTGTGATCTGTCTTCTTCAATATGTATGTATTAGCTGCAGGAGGACATGGTATCATCTCATTCATCACTGTGTCTCCAACATCAAAAGCAGCCCCAACATATGGTAAATACTTAATAAATATTAGTTGAAATGATGCATAAATTAGATGCTTGGGGGAAGGGCTCATCTGGAGGTGGGAGAGAGTTTCATGAAAGGAAGTGAGGAAGTGCGAAGCATATGCCTGATGCTGCAGCCCTTTCCAGTCACCTCTGGGTGCCATGTCAGCCTGTGTCCGGATGTCTGATCTGGGAGACTGGGAAACTACTAACCCTAGAATGAATGGCCTTTCGAATTCTAACTGAAGAGCCCTGTAAGACTGTGAGATGTTAAAATCTGACAGAAGATATTCTAGTCCTTGTCAATTTGGATTGTTATTACCCTCAGGAAGCAGAACCTGAAAAAACAAGGTCTTTCAATCACCTTCATACAATGGTCATCATGAAGTGTCTTCTCAGAGCTTTTGTTTTAATGTCCAGGCCCAAGATTCACTTACATAAGAAAAGAATGTTAATGAATGTAACTCTTTTTCCTCTCATTAAAAAGCTCTGGTATATTTGGAAATCATTCTGATGCTTTCAAAGAAAGCATTCCAGGTAAATGTGCTCTCTACTGCAGTTAAAAACTTAAAGACTTAGTGACCATTTTAAACAGTGGTCTTGAAAATATTCATTGAAACATCTTCCGAAAGGTAGCAAAATTTGTATGTTGGAGGCAATAGTGATGATTTATGTTCATATCTACTATTTGCATATTTTACTACCGCCATTTTTTTTTGCTTTTAATAACTTCTCATACTTTTTCTTACTGAAAAGTTACCAGTTTCGTTAACTTAAGTAGATATTTATTAAGTGCCTATTTTGTGCTACGTGCAAGACAGTATGCAATTCATTTCCAAGAAAGCTAAGAAAGTATAAAGGAAAAGACATAATTGCCTTTTTCAAAACCTATTTTCAGCTATTTGTGGCACGCTGAACTACCCTAACTAATTTGCGCTGAAGAGATTCAGAATCATTAGCCTTAGCCAGGCACTGTTGAGCATCATCTTGTGAACTTGATATGGGATACATTTAAGCTGCAATAGGTATATAGTTTCTTCACATACTTTGGAAGGGCTCCCGAGCCAGGATGCTTAGATAAAAATACTGACATTGCCAACAATTAGCTGTGTGACTTAACAGCTCTGTGCCTCAGTTTCCTTGTGTGTAACTGAGGATGACAATAATAGTATCTATTTCATAGGATTATTGTGGAAATGAAATGATCTAACCTGTGTAAAGGGCATAGTATATTGCCTAGCATATAATAAACATTCAGTAAATATTATTATTTTAGTATATGTTATAGTATGTTATGTTGCTATTGTATCTTACATCTTATTTTATCTTAACATCTTATTGTATGTTACTACTATTTTTATCACAGTTTACAGAGCTGTATAAGTAATAAACATTATAAAGTAAATATCTTTATAATACTTCATACAGAAAACAGTATGAAGTTTCACTGTCTAACTTAGTGAATATTTTTTGCTGCACACTGTGTAGACGATTCATCATGCTTGCTGGAGATATCAGTATTAGTAAGACACAGTTCCTACCATTAAGGAGTTCCCACCTGAAGCTCAGCAACTGCTGGTGGGAACAAAACTCTAGACCTCTTATCTGTTTTTTCTAAATGTGTATACGAAATAAGTTTTTCCTCTTTCCCACCTCCCGTGACCTACGTTGATTATCTAAAGTGATTCTTGCCACCACTCTAGCTCTGTTAACCCTGGTCTTTGCACGATGCCAAGCAAATCTCTCTGTCAGCTCCTCATTTATATACCCACTCTCTCTCTCCTTCCCACTACTGCTGTTTTACAATTACTCACCACTTATTTCTAAGCACATCACGTGGTTTATGGGTATTTAGGTCCTAGCAAGATAGCATAGAGGTTAAGGACATGAGCTTTAAAAGTAGAGTATTTGGGGACTTCCCCAGTGGTTCAGTGCTGGAGAATCCACCTTCCAATGCAGGGGACGTGTGTTCGATCCCTGGTCGGGGAACTGTGATCCCACATGCTGCGGGGCAACTAATCCCGTGCACCACAACTGCTGAGCCCACGTGCCCTGGAGCCCGCACACCACAACTAGAGAAGAAAACCTGCACGCCACAACTAGAGAGAAGCCCGCATGCCGCAACTAAGACCCAATGCAGCCAAAATTTTTAAAAAATCAATAAAATAAAATAAATAAAACGAATGGGTTATATATTTTAAAAACCTAAAAAAATAATAGAGTATTTGATTCATATCCTGACTCATGTACTAATTGTGTGACCTTGGACAAGTTATTTAGCTTCTCCAAGTGTTAGTTTCCTTACTTATGAAATAAAGATGTTAATATCTATTTTGAAAGTTGTTAAACAAATAATGGGGCACCTAGCGTGTGTCTTAGCTTTCAGAAAATGGTATCTAGTATTACTGAAAATACATCTATGATGTTTCCTTGGGTGCATAAGTGGAAATGGCCTCCAACAGGAAAAGGAAGAATAAAACTACTGAGAAAGAGAATAGAGTGACTCATATCACTTTATGGAGTGTCTGTAGCTATGGAGGAAGACAAGAGTTATCTGCATAACCATTTCTGGAGTCTAATGAAAGCAAGGGATTCTCTCTCCCTATAGAGTATGTTGGACTTAAAGCTTTCAGGCTGAGGTTCTAAAATGGAATTTTGACTACAGTGTCCACTTGTACTCTTTTTGATAGAACAAATTAATTAAATCATCCATAAAAGAGCACATTGGTATCTGAAATGGAATGAATGTGAGCTAGTCAACAATGTGTCAGTTAGGGTTTCAGTAGGATACAAATGGCACACTCAAAGGATTTGACTGAGGGGAGATTAAGAAGGGATGATTTACAGAAGAATGGGCAAGGCTAAGGGACCCCACAAGAAGCAGCCAGGAACTATTAAGTGCAGGAAGCTGCTAAGACCCCCAGAATTGGAGGAATAGAGTTTTGGAGGCCAGCAAGAGCTGGAGCCATAGAACAGGGACTGCGCAACAGAAGCTGTGGCTATAGAAAAATGCAGCCACTGTCAGGAGTTCTTGACAAAGGGTGAGGGTAATGATGTGATAGATACCTCAACCTCTCTCTTTCTTTTTTTTTTTTTAATTAATTAATTTATTTTTGCTGTGTTGGGTCTTTGTTTCTGTGTGAGGGCTTTCTCTAGTTGCGGCAAGCAGGGGCCACTCCTCATTGCGGTGCAGGGGCCTCTCTATCGCGGCCTCTGTTGTTGCGGAGCACAGGCTCCAGACGCGCAGGCTCAGTAGTTGTGGCTCACAGGCCTACTTGCTCCGCGGCATGTGGGATCCTCCCAGACCAGGGCTCGAACCCGTGTCCCCTGCATTAGCAGGCAGATTCTCAACCACTGCGCCACCAGGGAAGCCCCTGTCTCTCTTTCTGTTTACACTCTCCTGCTGGTTCCTCTCATTCTGTGAACCCAGCTGGAAGCCAGAGTGCCAGAATGCTTAGCCTTCCTAGGGGCCAGCCTCCCAGGACACAGAGCACAGTAGATGAGGGCAGAGAATGGATTGAAAAGGCAAATGGATAGTCGAGAACAGCACTCTGTGAAGCCTGCCTGAGAGAACAAAAACGGGATGATGGAGTGATACAAACCACTTTTCAGCTTCTCCGTAAAACCTGCAGGATAATCCTCTACACTCTCTCCTGCAGTGACCCTGGGGACCGTGCATTGACGATGGTGGTGTTCACGTGGAAGGAACCCGGGCCTGAACGGCTACTCAGAGCAGAGCCTCCATCCTGACCACACTGCGCTGTAACAGGAAGCCACTGAGGCTGCAGTGTTGTTTGTTCAGATGCAGATGGCGGGAGGGGGCTGTGGGGATGATTAATACTGATGACCGCCCGGCGTACCTCTTGGGTTTCATCTCTCTACTGAGCTTCTGAGCACTTACTCTTTTTTGTAAGCATCTATAAAACATTTACAAGTGGACATTTTAGATGTCATCTTAAACTCAATTCACAGCCAAATTCAAAACCATCCCCAAACTACCTTGGTTTCATACATAATCTGCCCTTCCAACTTATTTATTCATTGAGTTGGTCACTTCAGAATATTTACTGAGTCTTGATCTATGCCACAATATGGACTATGTATTAAAGATATAAAGAAGACACAGTTTCTGATTTCAAGAGGACCATAGTCTGATGAAGGTAGATATGTAAACAAGTGATTTATGAGAATGTTATATGTACCATGGTTACATGTCAGTTGTTTCCTCTTTTCTACATCTCACACAAAATGAGTCACAAGTATTGTATCTCACGTGCTTCTTTGGTAATAGCCACTTTCTCACAGTGCTATATTGGAATGATAACCAATTCCCCTTGCAGCCTGCACTCTCTCCTCACTCTAGTTCTGGTTCCATCCTTTACTCATTCTAGTTCTAGTGTACTCCTTGCATACTATCTCTAGACTCGTATTCCTCACATGCTACTTTGTTCAGGAATAGTGTAAAGTTTTATTTTTTCCTATTGCATCAAGTCTCAGTTCTGCTTGGCTTTCAAAGACCTTCAGGTCAGCCCTCCTAATGCAGCTATGTAATCCTATCCTCTAGGACTCTCCACTGTAACTGCCGACCCTGTCTATTGTTACTCCACCTTCCTTTCCATTCCCACTGCTCACCTTAGTTCAGTCCCTCTCAGCTCCCCCAGACTACTGCAGTAGCTTCTTAGCTCATTTTCCCGACTCCAGACATGTCCCTTTCCCACCCTGCTTCCTGCCAACAGAACTCTGTCATTGCAGGATCACTCTGATCATATCAGTCCTCTCTTCAAAAGCCTTTCCATCTTCCACAGTTCCCATCTCAGTAAGTGGCACCTCTGTATACCAATTGCCTGTACCAGAAACTTGGGTGCCTTCTGTACTCTTCCTTGTGTCACACCCCTCTCATGCAGTCAGTCATCAGGTTCTTTCTGTTCTGTCACGTATGTCTCTTGAATCAGTCTCCTACTGCTGTTCTCCGTCCTCAAAGTCCTTGCCAAAGCTGTGGCCCCTTGACTGGACTACTCAAAAGCCTCCTAACCTGCCTCTGACTTCACTGGCTCTCAGCCCATTCTCCACCTCACCACTAGGCGTAGCTCTTTCTCTGATAGAGAGCTAATACTGTGACTCTCCTGCTTAAAACTCTTCGGGGTTTTAACTCCATGGCTTTGAGGATGAATCTCAAACTACTCTGTGACACATTGTAAAGGACCCTTCATGACGTGGCTCCTTGTATCTCTCCAGCCTCATTGCTTCATCCCAGCTCTCTGTTCTGCACCTTCTCTTCTGACTTTACTGAACTATATCCACTTCCCCTGGGAAGGCACAGGATCAATTGCTCGTCTGCAGTTCTCACACGTTACTCCCTCTACCTGGGATGCTCTTTCCTCCCACCTCCTACACGTTGTTTTGGACTCGGCTCCCTTGATGGCAGTTACCATGTCTTTCTTTTTCTTTACCTTGCAAGCACTCAGTACAGTGCCTGGCATTGGGTAGGCTCTCAATTCAGAGAAGTTAAATAGATTGTTCATGGCCATACAGCTGGTTAAGAGGCAGGGAGCTGGGATTCAATTCAGGTTTCTGATTCAAAATTTTATGCACCTGCCACTTTACTACGCTGCCTCCTACCTTGGATAAAATACTTTAGACATAAAGTCCAAGTTCATTCATTAATTCAGCAAATATGTATTGATTTCCTAATATGTGCCATTCACTGTGTTAGATAAAGGGGGTGAACTGCTGAACAAGGCATTCCCTGCCTTCAGTACACTTCTAGTCTGATGAAAGATACAGACAAATAAAGACGCATTTGTGGCACAATGTGACAAGTGTTATCATAGGAGTAAGTACAAGGTAAATTGGAAAGCCTAATGGGAGGGATACATAGCCCAGTCGTAGGCGGTCAGGGAAGGCCTTTGGAGAGAAGTGATTTCTAAGCTCAGACTGCATATAGAATAAGCCTTGGCGAGATGAGGAAGCTGGGGAAGAGAGTTCAAGGCACAAAAGAACAACGTGGGCAAAGGTCCTAAACCATCAGAGACCGTGTCAGTACGGGGAACTGAAAGTTGTTCACAACTGCTGAAGTGTAAAACACCACGGCTATAATGACGAGAGCTGAATCGGGACACTGATGCGAAGGAGTTTAGACTACGTCCCGAAGCAAGGAAGAGGCAGAGTAGCATTCTAAGCAAGAAAATTAGTTGATCAGATTGAAATTTTGGAAACATCCTCTGACTACAGAGTGAAGAATAGATTAGGGTTGAGTGTGGGGCAAAAGGTAGGATGGGGAGAGTGAAGAATAGAGACTAGAGTGCTTGCCACTGAGAAAGAGAAGGAGGGCTGCCAGTTGGGGGAGGGGAAAGGAGCAGCTGCCCTTTTAGTTGTAACTGAGTTTGATGAACTGGTGTGTGATCAGGAGCTCAGGAGTGATGTTGGGACCCAAGTTACAGATTTGTGAGATGTGAGCATACGGAGGGTTAGGAAGCCATGGGGGCATGTGAGCTCACCCAAGGAGAGTGTGAAGAGAGGTAAAGTTTAGGGCAGAACTTGCAACATTCAAGGGGAGAGCATTCTCAGGAGGAGGGAAGGGGTCACTGGTGTCAAATATGGCCAAAGGTCAATTAAAGTTAGGACTTGTGGGCTTCCCTGGTGGCACAGTGGTTGAGAGTCCGCCTGCCGATGCAGGGGATACGGGTTCGTGTCCCGGTCCGGGAAGATGCCACATGCCGCGGAGCGGCTGGGCCCATGAGCCATGGCCGCTGAGCCTGCGCGTCCGAAGCCTGTGCTCCGCAACGGGAGAGGCCACAACAGTGAGAGGCCCGCGTACCGCAAAAAAAAAAGTTAGGACTTGTAAGGGTTCACTGGATTTTGCAATATGGAGGCCTTTGGTGTCCACAGGGAGCAGGTTCAATGGAGTAGTGGGAGCAGAAACTGAGTACAGAGAGCAGAGGAGATGGAGAGCCAGCGGAGACCATGCTTTCAAGCAGTTTAACTCTGAAGGAGGAGGGAGACGGTACCACTCTCTGGCAGGAGGGTTTTTAAAAGATGGCAGCGATTAGAGAACCCTTGCGGAATGGGTACATCGTGAGAGCACTGGAAGATCTAGAAGAGGTTGATGGAGTGAGGTTGCCGAGGAGGAGGGATTGGCAACACGGCACGGGAGGGCTCTGGCCTTAGACGGGAGGGGTACCTCTTCCATTTTAACAGAAGAGGAAAAGTAAGAAGGGTGCAGGTAAGCCTGCTGGTTTGGTGGTCAGAAGTTTGCGGGGTGCTCAACTAATGGTTTTTGTGTCCTTGGTAAAGTAGGAGGCAAAGTCATCTGCTGAGGGTGTGCCAGGGAGCTGGTGGGGCGAGGAATTTGAGGAGAAAAGTGTGGTGAAGAACAGGAAACAAAGCTCAGTCCTGGGCCTCATCTTCTTGCTCTGTTCTTCTTTCTCCCTAGGCCATCTCCTGCAATGCTCATCGCTTCACGTCCCCTCGACACAGATGGTCACAAATGTAGCTCTCTAGTCCAGACCTCACCTCTGAGCTCTCAACCCTCTGTCACCTCCGCTTGTCTCTCTCAAAGCTCCTTCCACTACCTGCCCCTCCAGCTTCCGCTCAGGACAGAGGGTTGTTGGGCAGTGCTGAGAATCCAGTCAGTGTTTAGTTTCATGAATTTGCAGTGTGGTCTACACTGTGTAAGGCCCTGTGCTAGCTTTATGTCACCCACCTCGTCTTAGCCGGTTTTGCTCACGTCTCATCTGCTTAACACATCGTTTCCCCAACCATTTCCACACCGTCAAATCCTATCCATCTTAATGGCTTAACTTTAAAAGCCATCTTTCCTGTATTCACTGATAGCCCCAGCTCGAAAACAAAATTTTCTTCCTCTTATTCCTCCTTTGTCTGAACTTTACTTATGGTTCTTATTGTTTTCTATCTCTTTTTAATATACCTGCTGATGTACATGTCTTACATTGCCTCATCTGCATTTACTAAGTTCTTAAATTCCTGAAGGCAAGGCTGTTACCAGAGTCATCTTTTTTTCTCTCAGCCTAAAACAGTGCCTTGCACATGTATCCACTCACAAAATCATGTCAATTACTAAGTTAATATGTATTTACTTACTAATGAAGCCATGGATGGATGACAGATTCTCTCTGCTCTGGTAAGTTCTTACACGTCATCCAATCTTCTTTCTGTTGGTAATCCTACAATGTTATGGATATTTGTGGGTGATTCATAAATCTCTTTCTAGCCCTGAACTCTTGCCCCAAATATACTCTCACGTCTTCAGTTTCTTGCTGCATCTCTCAAGCTTACTATGTTGAAGGTACTCATTTCCCATTTCCTGGTGTCTCCGATCTAAAGCTGAGGCTACACGTAAATGCCAGCACTTCTGTACATCTTCTCTATTCTAGTCCTCACTGATCTCATCTTCCCAAATCCTTTAGAATTTATTTTGTCAGTTTTAGGTGTTATTATGGCTTGTCTTTCTTGTTAATTTTCACTGTATACTTTGCCTTCAAAATTATATTATAAATTTCATGAGGCCAAGAATTTGTATATAAGTGTAATCACTTTTTTTTTTTTGCTGCATTACCTTCCGCCTTTCACCAATCTCTTTTCTCTCCAATTCTCTATCACTTGACAAAAAATTAGCCACCACCAGAGGGCAGTGGAGAGGCCAAGATAATAAGGATGGAAAAAAGGCAAAGTTTAGTTTAGCAAAGTTGATAGACTAGGTCTAAGATTTCTTCACACTCTTTAGCTTTATAGAAGCAGATGTGATTTGCTTAATCCTGGGTGCTAAAGTTTAAGAGATAAAAGTACAAACTGTGTCAATGCCACGGCCAGCTGGAACGTGAGCACAGGTTGGAGCATCTGGGAATGTAAGCCCAGGAAAGAAAAATCAGGGCAGCTCACACTAGTTTTCTTTAACTTTTTAGAAGAATGGCCTGTGAAAGGCTAATTCATTTTGTTCTGTTCAGCTTTATATTGACTAACAGGTGAGAGCTGTGTGGAGCTAGCATTTGCCTCTGTAAGAGGAACTTCTAACAGTAATAATGCAGTCAGGGAAAGTGGTTTGAGCTACACTGTGAGGCAGTTATCTGCCGGTTCCAGGAGGTTCTCGGGCTGGGCAAATACCCCTTCAGAATGTGGTTGAGGACAATCTGGCTTTAGGTGTGAAGTTGGGCTTGGTGGTTTCTGCTGACTCTTCCAGATCTAAGATCCAGGAGTCTGGAATCCGTACTTCCAATGCAGGCCTCAGACTGGCCCATCAAATCCCCTCTCTTCGATCTCTGTGACTTCAGTAAGTGGACTAATGTCACACGCTATGGTAACTCACAGAGAGAGTGGGGCCCTTGAGCTGGCTGTATCAGGTGTTGACAGGTGGTTACTCAGGAATGGACAGTGGAGGTTAGGGGGAATCTGGAAAAGAGATGTGTTGTAGAAGTTTCACGAGAGCAAAGAGCTGTAGAGACCTTAAAGGGAGGGGTAGCTGTTGAAAAGGAAGGCGGTATCGACAGGGTTGTTTGTTAGAGATTTGAAGAACGAGAGAGCTGAGAGCAAGAAAGGGGTCGTCATGGTGTGAGTCTCTCTCTGGGTCAAGGAACAGAGAAACACTCAGGTTAACATCAAAGCGATGTTACATCAGGTTACATCACTTTGTTTGCAATACAAAGTGTAGGAATGTATTGCAACAATGTAGATAGATGAAAGCAGAAACATCTGTGCTGCTCTGACAGGTGGTTGAAGATACAGCTGCAGCCAGCAGTTAGCGCCTTCTCAGCCGGGAGCCTCACCCTTTGCTCCCTACACTAGTGTTTCCACACTCCACGTCTCATTCTCTCTGCTCTTGCTTCAGCTATTCCCAATCACCTCTTTTCTGCTCTCCTTCTTGCCAGCCCATGGTTTCTGCTTTCTCTCTGCCTTCACTTCCCCCTTTATGTTTCTCTGCTTCTACCCTGGCTAAACACTGTACTTTGTATACTTCACAGGCAAATGGACCCAGAGAGAATCTAGATGGTTTAATAGTACCCAGGAGAGATCTTTTCTGTCGGGCAGAGTATATCTATGGGCCTTTGGTAAGCCTGATAAAAACGTTCCGTTCGATAAAAACGGTCCGTCCCAGCCCTGCGCCTTCCGCTGAGCCAAGAATCATAGGCTGCGTAAGGAAGCCCTCACTAGGGGACTATGGGCAAGGCAGACTTTCTGAGGCTTCCAAGAAGGGGTAGTGTGATTGTCAGGCACATTGCGTGACCAGACAGTTATGGATGGAAAAGCAGGGGTATATTCATGATGAATAGAGCAAAGGGCTAAAGATGGAGTTGGAAATATTGCCCAAGGAGCCCGTGCCTTATGAGAAAAGCTATAAAGGGAAGGGTTTGATTGAAAAACAAAAAAGAGAATATAATGGGCATTCTTGTGATTGTGGCTGCCCATAATCCATTGCTCTTTCTTCTGGTAATAGCACTGGACCTGGCTAGAATGTGTGTGCTCGCGTGCGTCAGTGGGGAACTACCTCCCTGTGGAAGGTAAGTCCCCTACATACAAACCTTCAAGCTGCGAACTTTCAAAGATGCGAATGTGCGTTCCATCAATATCAGGCGTGACTAAAATTGCAGCTTGCACTCCGTCTCCTATTGCTGACCATCCTTCAGCTCTACCATCTCCCACCTCCTCTCCCTCCTCCACTCAGTAACTCTTCTTGCCTGTTCACTTGATGCCAGCCCCTGTATGCCACCTGTTGTACTGTACTACCATACTTTTCAAGGTACTGTAGTATATGATTAAAGATGTTTATTTTTGTGTTTGTTTTCTGTGTATTATTTGTGTGAAAAGTATTATAAGCCCATCACCGTACAGTACTATATAGCTGATTGTGTTAGTTGGGTACTTAGGCTAACTTTGTTGGACTTAGGAATAAATTGGACTTATGAACGTGCTCTCAGAATGGAACTCGTTCGTATGTAGGGGACTTACTGTAGTGTTGTGGGATTGTCAGCCAAGGCACCCTGCCCTGTACACCAAAAGGTGTCTGTTTCTCTGTACGTCTCTCTCTCAATTTTGCCTCTTCTGAAGGGGGAAGACAAAAGGATAGGAAAACAAAAATAAATGGAAATTATTCTTTGCCAGCGGTAGCAACCTGGAAAACTTGTAGACTAGTTCCCCCTACCCAGATCCCTGGAAGTGCCCTAGTCCTGTCCTTGCTGGGCCAGATTTTCAGATGTTTTTCTGATACTGTGCAATATATTCCCTGTTTGCTTAAGTTAGCCAGTGTCACCGCTTGTTGCTAGCAATCAAGGAACTACAGATAGAGGGGACCATCCTAAACTTTTTGTGTGGGGACCTAGCAAAATCAATCATTAGTGGAAGGCAGTTGCTTAGACATCTGTGTGTCACACATCTGGGAAAAGAAGGACAGGCACAGAATTAAGTCTAGATAAAAATAATTTAGTATCTGAAAATATACCAACTCATTTCAGTTATTAAATCTGTGTATGGCACAAATGACAAAAAAAATTTAGACAGCTTTTAAGAGATAAAAAACAATGACATCATAGCCTTGATGGTCTTGGGTTAATAATAACTACAAAACACTTAATATGTAGGTTTAGGGGATGGTTAATTTCCAACTCAACAAATTATTTGGATTTGCCCGATGACATCTGACCTGCTTTTCAGCATTCTAGGCAATATTTACCCAAAGCCCTCCCCAAAGTCTCTGTTCATAAAATCCTCCTTTTAATAAGCCTTTAGTGCGCTCCTGCAGCACTTCAAAGTCACACTGGCACCGGGGGGAGTGTTTTTAAAACATGCAGTGCATGAAGTGCATTTTGGGGTGTTTCAGGCTTAAGACAAAACTGCAGGGCCACAAACATTGGGTACTGTAATCTGGAGGGAATCCTATTCTGGAGGGAATCGCTGGGATGTGGGATGGGCAGTAGTAGTTGTGGCCTCCTAAGTTTCCCGAAACAAGTGAACAAAAGAATCCTAGGTGGGCTTCCCTGGTGGCGTACTGGTTGAGAGTCTGCCTGCCGATGCAGGGGACATGGGTTCGTGCCCCAGTCCGGGAAGATCCCACATGCCGTGGAGCGGCTGGGCACGTGAGCCATGGCCGCTGAGCCTGTGCATCCCGAGCCTGTGCTCTGCAACGGGAGAGGCCACAACAGTGAGAGGCCCGCGTACTGCAAAAAAAAAAAAAAAAAAAAAGAATCCTAGGTGGATCCAGGCAATGGGGAATTCTGTTGAAGCATATTGTGATCTGAAGTTGGTTAACTTTTCAGCTGGGTCAGGCAGGCCCGGGAATGGCAGGGCAAAGGGTTAATTACTCCCAAATCCCTTTTCTATTCATCCAGACCTACCAGTTCTATTCCTACTTCCATGCATTGTAGATAAGAGTGACGTAGTAACTTTAACATGCTCCATCTGCAAAGTTAAAATATCTACCTCCTCACAAGCTCAGAAAACAGTTTGGAGAAAATAGTTATTGTTTCCAGATGTTCTGCGTCTGCCACACGTTTCTCAAAATAGAGTATGACACAACTGGGGGCAATATAGTAATTGCTTTCTTGTTCTAGAACAGCACTATCCATTATGGTAGCTGCTAGCCACTTAAATTAAAATTAAGTAAAATTAAAAATTCAAATCTTTAATCACACTAGCCAAATTTCAAGAGCTCAGTAGGCATATGTGGCCGGTGGCTACTGTATTGGACAAGATAGAATTATGGAACATATCCATCATTGCAGAAAGTCCATTGAATAGTACTGTTCTACAATAAGAATTGTTGTGTTTTTATCTGTACTAGTCAGAAATAAAAATGCCAAAGAGATAACTTTTCCTAAAGATTGTTTATATAAATATCAAAGATATTTCTGTAAAAATATGTACAATGAGTGATCTTACCAAGATCAGAACTTCTTTTATTGGTAGTCATGATGATTACCTCCTGTTACTCTCATCCTCTTATTGGCTAGGATGTGTTTTCATTTACAAACTCAAGAAGAGAGTAAAGTGAATTGAAAAAAATGAGAGTAGTGAATTTAGGCAATTAAATCATGTTAGTGAGAATAAAGGCTTTTGTGGAATCATGTGGAAAATTATTTTGGTAGTCAATTTTTATTTTGGCTGTGAAGATAATTCAGCATCCTTAGAAAATAAGCTCTGAGGTTTCTTCTTTGTGAGGCAAATATGACTGCCTTAGTTACCACACAATTTACAGTCGAAGTATTGTGCTCTTCAAGTACCCTTTTTTTCTTAATAAAAGATGATGCTAAGCTGGGATATATAAGCAAGGCTGCTTGTGTTCTCCAAAGACATTCTAAGAGATCTGCCACATCATGTATCACACGTAGTGCATCACCAACCGGCCTGTAATAGGTTCTCAATACATGTTTCTAGACTTGACTGCAAATCTACAGTCCCTTAAAAATGATACCTAAAAAAGAAGAAAAATGATACCTATTAATTTTCATTACAAAAGAACACGTTCATTAAATACATTGGAAAATACAAGAAAGTTGAAAATTTTTCCCTATGCTCATAATTTCCTTTGTCTTTTTCAGCTATGCATTTTTTAAAAGTGTGTAATTACACTAGAGTTTGAACCTTCACATTATAGGCTATGTGTTAACTGCTCTGGCTAGACCTGTTGTGCAAGTCTGAAGAGGTGGACTCTTTATGAAAGATATTTGATGGAGGGAGGAAGCGAAGGAAAATTTGTAAAACCTTCTCTCTTTAAGCATACCTCACTCATATACATCTTAACATGCTTACACCTGTTAGCATTTAGAGACCATTCTTTGACATGTGAAAAGAGAAACAGGTGCAGCTAATTTACACTGCCTGTTAAGTTCCCATGGGTAAAGTGGTAACCAAAACAGAAAAGAAAAAATCTGGGCAGCTGGGTGATGTATTAGCTTAATAACAAATTTCCAGAGCAGTAACGCAGTATTTACATTTGCTTTGGCTTGGGGGGGCGTGGCTTCGAAGTAGGGGCCATCCATCTTTCGGGTCGGGGCGTGGTGGGAGGAGGGCGAAGGCTCTGCCCTTCCTGGCTGCGGTTGGCAAAGCCTGGAACCATCCTAGGTAGTCTGGGCGGGACTGGAGCGTGCTAAGGGCGGGACGTCCCAGGCCGGGGGCGGGGCCGGGTGCCGAGCGCGCCCCTAAGACCGCGCGCCGGTCACGTGCCGCACGGGTCTGCCGTAAATAATCCGGGCGCGCGCGCGCTCGTGGGGCCGGCCGCGCGGAGGGGCGGCGCCACTTCGCGGAGTGGTGCTTGGCTTCCTTGCGCTCCACCCGGTTCCCGGCGCAGGGATCCCCTAGACCGACGTTCCGTGGGGCCGCGAGTCTTCCGGGGGTGCGAGCCAGGTGATGGCCGCTTCCTGGGCGTGAGGCGGGCAGACGGGGAGCCTGCGGTTGTGGTCCCAACCCCGGGAGCTCTGGGAGCCCGGGTGACAGCGTAGGTCAGTTTCCTAGGCCGGTTCCCCTGCGAACGGTCTCCCCCCTTGCCTGGTGGTGGGGGAGGTCTGTCCGCGCGTGGTGGGGGGCGAGGCCGCGTCTCCCGCGCGTTTCCGAGGATGGTCAGGGTCGTGGCCTGGAGATGCCGGGCTTTGAGCCAGAGCTAGGCTTCCACGAAGTCCCTGGCTGCTCCAGCTCTGCGAGGAAGTTAGTTGTACAAGCAGCAAGATGCTGGCATTTGTTGCATTTCCACTTTGGGTGCTAGGACTTTGTCCTGGTGCCACATGCATTCCCTACTAAGTCATTAGCTGCTTGCTTTCTCGGTACTTGGATGTGTGCATTCCAACTTTTAGTTTCCTACTGGCGTGAAGAGGATTGATTCACAGTGGAAGTCACGAGCTGTTCACGTGACCATTCTCACAGTGTACCTCGTGCTCCATTCTACTAGCATGAAAGACTATCAGAGGAATTCAGAAACAGTGTGAAAGATGGCAGCAGCACAAGAGAAACAAGGATTCATTTACCCGGGGGCCCTGCTGATTGGCAGGAGGCGTTGAAAAGGGTTATCCTGATGTAGTTAATATTGGTTTTCAATTGTGAAAGTCTTTGCTTTATGCAGATTGTATTGTGAAGTTGAACTGTTGGCAGACTGTTAATTTAAACTAGACTGTTGCAAATTTAGCGATTAGGCTTTTGTGGATAGCTGATAACATAATGAAATCAGCTTTAAAATCAGTGATGTGTTTTCCTTGAAAATCTCAGCCGTTGTATTGTAATTGATGCATCTGGATACACCTCTTGACTCAGAATTTGGAAAATACTTTGATTTGTTTTGATGGCTTAGCAATGTTCGTGGTCTGACTCTGAGGCAACGAATTTTTTGCAGCCGGTGTGCCTAGGTGTATTTTCTGAATTCCCCAGCTGAACTTTTAAAGATCTCTGTATTAATTACAGAATAGTTATAAAATTCAACCATTTTTCATCCCCAGGTTCTAAACTAAGGGCTCTATCTCACAATCTATGGGGAGGGGTGGGGGGAGAGGAGAAAACTGTCAGTAACGTACCTTTTAAAATTTATCTTTTTCTTTTCTCTCAGGCCGAGCAACTCTCCCAGCATTGAGCAACTGATATGCAAAATAGGAGTTAACTGCTGAAAGTTGAGTAAATTTATCTGGAGCAGTTGTTGTGTATCATTGTAGGGTTTTACCAGGGTCTGTTTATCAGATGACACTTGCTAAATATCTCCTTGTTCGTCAGCAGAAATTTGGGCGGGGGGGGGGGGGGCCTGGCTAACCCTTGTCTCTGGAGGCTGCTCAGCCTTACAGGTATTATTTGCACAGCACTTACACCTGTAATTCAGAGCAGCTAGATGTTATTTCTGTGAAAATTGCTTTCCCACTCTTCCCCCAAAGCAAAGGGAAATGATACTTGTTTAGAACCAGCAACTAGGTAGAAAAATACAGCCAGTTTCTTTTGTGTGATAACATGGTGCAGTGTCTATTTAACAAATTTTTCTTCATGTCGCTTTATTTTACTTAGACATATCTATCATTATAATACCTCAAACTTGACACTTTGACAGTTTCTTACCTCTTGCTATTGCTAGGAGCTGAGCTTTTGTACATTATGTGTATTCACTGAGAAAAGTAGTCAACAGAAAGTGGAAATCAGCCTAACTCATAACATATGGAGGATAGAGCAAGCACATGTAAGAAATTTGAAGTGGTTAAGCCAAGTCTGGTGGTAATTAGAACTTTATTGATTTGTAAATTCTTTCCAGCTCCTAGGAAGAGGACAGGTGTTAGCAGTATAGCCACCAGCTGATACCAATCTCACCAGGATTCGTTAATGACGTGTCAGAAAAGATTCTTGCATTCTTTACAGAATATATTGATGATCATAATGTCATATAAGTATCTTACAGGATGTTCTTGATCCCTAGAAATGTTGGATTTTTTTCTCCTACCTGACCTCATCCACTAATAAGGTGGGCAAGTATAAGAAATACTTTTTAATGCCTAAAGTAAGAGGATACTAGGTCACTAACTTTTTCTGAGTTGTATTCATCAGCCAGCAAATAGGAAATTACTGTACTATACAGTGAAAGTGGTCTTTAACTGTACAGTTTCCTATCATGTGAGTGGAAAGTAACCACGTTTTTACTTTGTTGTTTAAAGTTTTCCTTTAAAGAGAAACTTCTGGCCGTATGGTGGATAACTGGTCAGTATTATTACACGTTACATTAAGCTTGGAAGATAATTTTCAAATGTGAAATAAAATGGGAAACATTTAAATACATTTTATCAAAAATTTAAGGAATTTTTTCCTTGGAAGGTAACAGTTGATCAGCCTCCTGGTTGGTATTATTATCTAAAACTGTATTTATCTTATTTGTGGACTTCTCTGCCGTTTGCTTCTATGGGCCAAACCTGTTTTGAAACAATAGGTAATAGTTTTTATTAACTATTTATTAACAATAGTTTTTATTAACTATTTATTAACAGTAGAATCTACAAAGTTCAAATTGAAATCAGGGCTGCGTCTGAGGGTTAGTTCTTGTTTGTGAAGCAGATAAAATGTATAGCAACCTAAGGTTTAAACAATTTCATAAAGCAAGGCCATGAAGCTTATTTTGTTTTCAACAGTTTTGTTAAACATTTACATTTTCAACTGATTAAAGGTAAAATAATAAATAAATAGGCAGCAAGTAGGCTTGTTCTTTTCTTATACCTGTATGGCATCCAAGTCAGTGTGGGTACGTAGTGAATAAGAGACAGTAATGTAAATAAGTCGAATATAAAGTAAATAATTTGGTATAGGCATTTTACATTGATTTCAATGGCTTACAAACCCTGGCAAGACATATTACAATTATAGCCAGGTGTCTATCGTTTCTCCTGCAAAAGAGGTGATGTTATTTATCAGGACACAGGGTCCTGTTGAAGTTAGAGAAAAAGTTTCACTGAATTAAAAATTAAGTGATTTTTAATTTAATTTCATATTTTTAAAAAAGGCAAGTGCTTCCTAGAATAGACTTTAAAATTTGCTGTCATTTTCCTTAAATGGCCATGTTTTGGATGTCTCATTTCAGTCAGTACATCTTCTTAAAATGAGGGGATTAAGCTATAATTCAGATTCAGCTTCCTCAGTGCTCATACAGGAACAATAACTAGGATCAGAGACCTTTAATTTTAGAGGCTGAATTGAGTTTTATAAATATATAGCACTAATAATATTTCATCCCTCGATACGAAGTTGTAGATTCTGGTTGTGGCTATTAAAGCCATACCCTTGGCAATCAACTTTATCTTTGTACTTTTCAGTTTCTTCATCTCTAAAATCAGTCTTAGCTTAAATATGAATCTATCTATCAAAGCTAAATTTCTAAACCAAGAAAAAAATGCATTTCATTATTTGTGTTATCACAAATGTCATAGTTCTATATATACATATTTGTATATGCCTATGTACAAATAGGTATATGCACACATACACGCATACACTGAGGAATCTATGATCACATAAAAGAACTTAATGATTGCTTGCTAGGAACTAATAAGATTGAGAGCAAACCTCTGTTTCTATCGCCATGTTTTAACATAGTCACTTTAATTTTTTAATATTTTCCTTATATTAAAAATACAATATTGGCAGGAAAAATATTGGAGGAAGAAAGCGCCATTAAGCAGGTAACTCGTGTACTTCGGAATTCAGTGCTGAGCACACTAGAGACGTTTTTGTTTTAAAGACTTAGTTTGTAAGATATATGCATTCATAAATACTTAATTTTTCTCACTATTCAAATCTCTGGTATACAGTATATTTCAAATATTATTTTAATGTGTTAACAAGCGTAAAATCAGTATCTGAGAATTTTAAAAATCACAACATAAAGTCATGACGAGTTTTGAATAATTAGCTTCCTTTGGCTCTGTTGATAGTACAAAAGCTATTTCTCAATTGTTAGAGCCAAATTTCAGATACTTCCTCTTTTTTTTTTTTTTTTTTTTAAGTTTTGGGCCTCACTGCGCGGCACGTGGGATCTTAGTTCCCTGACCAGGGATCGAACCCACGCTCCTTGCAGTGGAGGCGTGAAGTCTTAACGACTGAACCCCCTCATTTTTAAAAAAAATAGTGGTAAAATACATATAACATGTTTTTAACCATTTTAAAGTATACTGTGCAGTAGCCATCACCACTATCCATCTCTAGAACTTTCTCACCATCCCAAACTGAAACTCTGTGTCTATTAAGCACTAACTCCCCCTTTTCTCCTCTCCCAGCTTTTAATAACCACCATTCTACTTTTTGGTGGCGTGAATTTGTCTACTCCAAGTATCTTATATTAGTGGAGTCATGTATTTGTCCTTTTGTGTCTGGCTTATTTCACTTAGCATGACGTGTTCAGGGTTCATGATTGTTGTGTCACGTTTCAGAATTTCATTCCTTTTTAAGGCTGAATAATAGTCTGTTGTATGTATATACATTTTGCTCATCCATTCATCCCCCAGTGGACACTTGGGCTGCTTCCACCTCTTGGCTCTTGTGAAGAATGCTCTTGTGATCATGAATGTGCAGGTATCTCTTTCAGCAGTTCCTTCTTTAAATTCTTTTGGGTGTATACTCGGAAGTGGAATTCCTGGATCATATGGTAATTCTATGTTTAAGTTTTTGAGGATTCACCATACTTTCCTGATGTTTTATAATGTCCAGTTAAATATTGCTGTATGTATGATCGAATAAAGTTAGCCTGAGATCTTTGAATTTTAACTCTTCAAACAAACACCTTTAAGAACTCTGTTAAAGGACACATCATTTAATATTCTCAGTGTCTGGTACTCGGGAATTAGCTCTGATTGTTGAACTTCACTGTCTTTGATTTCTCTAGGAATTTTCTACTTTGATTCTGTAGAAATAGTAAAGAAAAGTAGCAGTTCAACTTGTAAAATAGTAGACCTCTGACGGAATTGAATGTTGATTGCCCTTTAAGCTACAAGTTTCAGGGTCTCTGCCAAGATTTCAGAGTTGTTAGGGCCACAGAATTTATCCACTGTAGTGAATGGGGATTTAGTGGCATGGATTATCAAGTATGGGGACCAGTTTAATTAGGTAATATACAGTGTTTACACAACAACAAAACAGAAATTCACTTTCCACAAAATAATTTAGAATTAGAAGCTTGGCTTCCCCAGTGGACCTTGGAGGAGAGGAAACATAAGGCAAAACATAAAGTCTCTAGTCTCCTAGTTTTTGAAGCTCAAAATGTTTTTGACTAGTTATTTCCTCGAAAACATTCTCTTGGCCATTAAAATCTCATTCATTAATCTTAAAAACAGAGTTTGGAATTGCGTGAATGTGAAAAGAGTGGCTGAAAACATCCACAAAGAGTTACTGAAAAATACTATGTGTGCTGATAGGATGTGGCTCAAGTCTAGTCTCATAAGATACATTAAGGGATTACTTGTCTTTCTTTTGGCTTAAACATGAGAGACAGTGCATTTTGAAATAAGCTCTCATGAGTCCAAAGAAAGTTTTTTAACATCTCTTCAACATTTGAATTCTCTGATTTTTGTATTTTTTCTGAAGTTAACTGTTAACCACAAATTATTTATAAATTAGAGATGTATCAAATTAAAGAAGCAGTGATAGTCCTCAGTAATCCTGGAGTGTATATTTAAAAAAGGTATGATTTTTGGTATGATCTCAATTCATTTCCTGTGGCATATAAGGAAAAAGAACTTCATTTTTTGATCACTGGATAAAGGTGTACCACTTACAATGAACATGTTACTCTTAGGCCTTCCTATCGGTATTGCTTTGTTCTTGAAAAACTAATTCCACGTTCATCCATCTGTCCATTTAATTAATATTTGGTTGCCTGCTCTGTTCTAGGCACCTTGCTGGGTACTAGGGATATAGTGGGGACACATAAGAAATGTGGGACCCTTTTTCCCATTAAGTTTACAGTGTAGTGTAGGGAGAGCCAAAGAAATGACCATATGTGCACCTACAGACTGACATTTGTGGCAAAAATAAGGTGCTGTGAAGGTTTTATAAAGGGGATCTAGTGGAAGTTGGGAGTGGAGATGGCAAGTCAGACCTCTTGAGAAATGTGGATAGTAATTTTTTTGTACAGTTGACTTGTATAACATAAGTTATTGGGAATTCCCTGGTGGTCCAGTGGTTAGGACTCTGCACTTTCACTTCCGTGGCCCCGGTTCAGTCCCTGGTCAGGGAACTAAGATCCTGCAAGCTGCGTAGCATGGCCAAAAAAAAAAAAAAATGTGTGTGTGTATATATATATATATATATATATAAAACATATAAATATAAACACATATATATTAATATATATGTTAAAAATATATAATAACATAAAACATAACTTATTCTAATGTAAGGCCTGCTTTTATTCATTAGTGTGTCACCAAAGTTTAGAACAATGCCTGGACCGTGGTCAGCGCTCATTTAAGGGTTTTTTTAATTAATTAATTTTTTTTGCGGTACGCGGGCCTCTCACTGTTGTGGCCTCTCCCGTTGCGGAGCGCAGGCTCCGTACGCGCAGGCTCAGCGGCCATGGCTCACGTGCCCAGCCGCTCCGCGGCATGTGGGATCTTCCCGGACCGGGACATGAACCCGTGTCCCCTGCATCGCGGACTCTCAACCACTGCGCCACCAGGGAAGCCCTAAGGGTTTATTGATAGTAACACTGTGATAGTAGAGATAGGGAAAGTGTTGTTGGCCCTGGAGGTGATGGGGAAACTGCAGCTTCTTGTGGATGTCATGTTGGGCACCTTCCTAGCCCAAGCTGGCTACCTAGATGCTGACCTGAGGAATAAAGTTTTGGGTACTATTGATGTATCAAATTCTGAATCTTCAGGTCTGCACAGATGGCAGTGGACTTTTAGTTACAGTGGTTCTTGGATGAAGAAAAAACAATGAATGTTTTTATGTCTTGGTTTGGAACATCTTCTGAGTTTCTTTGCAGCATAGCTGAAAGGAACAGAATGATCATTTTGTTTTACTGTAGTACAGCTATCAAGAAGTTTGCTTTGTCTTTAAATTACAGGTATTTTTGGAGTTGTGCTATTTTGACTGGGTGTTAGAGCCACTAGGAAATTATTTTGTTATAAAATTGTGTTTTTACTGTTTTCTGCTCCTAACATAAAGTAATTTGTTTATGGAAGTACGTTCTAAATGTATATATGATTTTACAAAATTGTTTCTAAAGGGAGATGGGGGAAGTGTCGGCCCACCCCGCAACTCCTACCACTCCTTTCTAAAGTAATAGAAGTTTATAAAGGAAAAGTATTGAAAATGCCTGTTTGCATTTTGGAATTTACCCTCAAGGTCTTGCTTATTTGACTAAGTCCCAGGTGTTACAGTTGGCAAACCTTTAGAGTCTGCTCAGCCTGCAGGTAGAGTAGCTGGTTTTAATGGATGTGGTGGGAAATTGCTTTAAAAAGGAGAGAATGAATTGTTTTAAGAATATTTTTTAATCAGACAGGTGCCTGTGTTAAAATGAACACATATGGAATTTAGGCATAAAGCAACAAGAGTGTTAATTTTCTGTCTCGGTGAAATTTAGCTGGCCTTGTACCCTTTTTAATTTTCAAACAACCTATTTACCTCTGTTGCCTCTCCCCTCCATGCCCCCCTCCCCATCCTGTCTCATAGTAAGACTCCTCTTGCCTATGAAGATACCTAAGAATCTGTTTATCTTCGTAGGAAATTGGCAGCATCAGACAGGAAGGAGCTCTACCCA